TTTTTTCTCAATCGATTGAGATTTGATTGAGAATTAAATTAAGTTGAAGCATTCTCATCATCAGGGTCTCAATCCTGAAGGTAGAGACGTTCTTCTTTGATTGACGTTCAGTCATCACGCTATTTATCAATAAAATTCCAATTTTCAAGAATATATTCACTTAAATTTGCCTGATTTCACAGCTTAATTGAATTTTCAGTGGAACATGAATATTCAGAAATAAAAAAACATGAATTTTCAATTTTTTCCTCAATTTTCTCGATTTTTCTGAATTTTCACAGAATGATTGAACTGAAAAATCCAGTATTTTATTGATTTCCCGATCCTTAGAACAGAAAATCAATGGAATATTTGATTTTTCAATGACAACATTTCCTGAAATTTCATTGGAACTTGAGCACGATCAAAATTACCGGAATTTGGCACGGAAAATTCAATCGAAAATTTTCAACAGTCTACTATACAATCGATCGTCAATAGATGACAAATCTCAATCCGATAGCCCTCGACATTAAAAACTCATAGTACTCTCTCCTTAATAATTAACAAATCTCGTTTGGAATAAATGAATCATTCTTCCAGTGTGTAGCAATGAACGAATCCTTGCATCATTCGTTTCATCAGACATCCAATCCAAATTTACGGGAATCATCGATGAACCCCCAAATAGCCAATACGTCATTCACAATGAATAACGTCAAAGCTTAAACATCACGCTGCATGCAGCATTATGAGACTAATTTCGTTGACTATCAGAGCCGAGTTAATTGACAACAACTAATTTCTGTTCGATTGACTCTGATAATATTATGCACGGGGCAGGCTGCCCGCATTCATCAATCTCCAATTATCATCTAGCTTATTTCATCAGGATATTCGAGATACATGTGATTTGATATTGAAGATCTCATCGATCGCATTCTACGTATTCTCGGACTGAATGAGGAAAACAGCTCGGGGACAGATGTCCCGTGGGTTCTGACGGATACAGAATTCTGGGCGATGATCGATTTGAAATTCTACCCCTCATCCATCAGAAAGATTTTACAAGCCTCCCGGCTCACCCTCATTTTTTCGGCCACCGAATAGTGTCCCCGGGATTGTGAAGGATTTATCATTCGTCAGGTTTGTATTGTAAGGTGTAATCTCCATTTTTCAGCGATAAAATTATAACTTCATTGGTATTTTTGAGAAAATATTGATAGTTGAGACTGCAGATGTGTTTTGATTGGGGAAAAGGTTTTTCTTCTAGACGAAAATTGATACAATAAGTATTTTTTGATGGATCTCCTCTGGAATATTCGCTTTTTTTTTTTAATCGTAAATATTCGTTTCAGACATCGGCATAATCATTAATTTTAAATGCAATTAAATTTTGAATGAGCCAATTGTGAATATTACTGGGCAAATTTTCAATTCTTAAATTAATCATCAAAAAATTCCCTCCCCTCGTCCTCTTCTGCATCCATCAGAAAGATTTTACAAGCCGAGAGGCTCATCCTCATTTTTTCGGCCACCGAATATTGTCCTCGGGATTGTGAAGGATTTATCATTCGTCAGGTTTGTATTGCAAGGTGTCAACTCCAATTTTCAGCAATAAAATTGTACCTTCACTGGTTTTTTTGAGAAACTATTGCTAGTTGAGACTGCGAATGCGTTTCGATTGGGGAAAAGGTTTTTCTTCTAGACGAAAATTGATACAACAATTATTTGTTGATGGATCTCATCGAGAATGTTCGCTCCAGACATCGGCATGTAATCATTAATTAATACGAAATGCAATAGAAATTAATTTTAAATACAGTTACATTTTGAATAAGCCGAGTGTTAATATTACTGGACAATTTTTAATTATTAAATTAATCATCAAAAAATCCCCTCCCCTCGTCCTCTTCCGCGAATGTTCATTTTGAAAGGGGAGAGAATATTTGAGAGAATATTTTTTAAACACTTTTTTAAACGACGAAGAAAAAATTCATGTTTATCTTCCTAATTTTAATCGTGTTAATTGGAAATTTAACTTTCATGGTACAATTTTTTACTATACCGACTCTCAATTTTTACTGTGTTCAACAGTAGTTTTTCCAACAGATTTCATTACAGGGGAGGGTTGGGCAACACGAACCGCAGGGCAAAACGGACCACTGACAAAAAATTAGTAATTTTTGTTTTCGTTCCTTCAAATCAGGAACACTGAATGTGTTGAATTAAAACTGAATTTCTTGGATCGTAATCGTCACAGGAGTTTTATAGACAAGAAGCATCGTTGAAGCGTAATTTGATCAGATTTGCTAATCACCTCAAACCACAAATGAATTCGAATTTTTTCAAAAAAATTGAAAAACAACAATTATCACTTTTCTGTCAGTGGTCCATTTTACCCGCCTTGTCCGTTTTGCCCTACCCTCCCATATTTCAGCTTTGTCAGCCGTATTTGTTCATCTAGCACGTTGTAGTTTTTCATTTGTTCTAAAAATTCACATGTTGAACAGTAAATTTTCGGGTATAACGGGTACAGTTCAGCATTTTATTTCTCATATTAAGAATTACCATGTTCCCACAGTAAAAAATAAATTAATATTCTTTCCGTATAGCGAATCGATCCTAACGATTTGGAGCTTTTGGTTTTTTTCAATTTTCAACTGCTGTTCATTTTTATTAGAATATTAGGTTCCACTCTTGGTTCAATCTCAAAATAGACACATTTCTGCATTGAAAGCACACGAGATAATTCATTCCCCACACATTCCGACCCCAACGTTTCCGATCTTCACAAAAAAATGAACTCGCCAGGAAGGTCAGACGAAGGACATCAGGTGCTGTTTTATATTCACAATAAAAAGGCCGCCGAAAACCATCTGGCGCTAACATGATATCGAACGGGAAGATATTAAAGAAAAAAGGGGATGCGGCTTTTCCCGGAGAATGAGAATATCGTTCATGTCGTGTTGGCAATCAAAAGGTTGATGTGCGAAAGCCAGAAAGAAATTGGAATTCAGAATTCAAGGATAATGAAATTATCCTTCATTCTACGGAATCCGGACTGAAGCTTACATCTGAAAAATTCGGAGGAGTGCAGTACTCCCAAGTCGTGAATATACCGAGACACTCAGTAGTAAATGTGCTTTATGGTCAGACACTGTCCGCATTTACCAGTAAATCACGGAGAGACTGCACTCTCTCACGTTTACAGTTTCCGAAAGTCAAAATATTTTTCGGAATTTCGTTTTCTCGTGGAAAAACAGGAAAATACCGGAATGATGATTTTTGTGTTATTTCATATTATTTTTAATTTCAAAAAGTGAGAATTGAAATAATGAACTGAACTGCAACATGAGGGCCATGAGGGTCATAAAAGCGATGTTCATTATGATCTCCAACTTGTTCACATCGTGGACAATTGCTTTTTTTAATAAATGAATAGTTATTGTTGCTAATAAATAAGCCATTTGCTTCCGAATAGATTCTTTTTTATTCTTATTCCACTATTCTCTTCTTCAATTTTTCCCTGTCATAGGCCCGAGTCGAGGATTTGGTTCTGATTGGACGTACACAGGTCTTTCAAGATCTCTTCAGACCTAGATTTGACCTGGTAAGTCCTAATCAGTTCTGCGACGTACTTTTCCGAAGACCTTTCGAATCCTCAGTTCTTTTCGGCCCTGAGAAGTCCTCCTCTATACTAGCGAGACCGCGGGATTTCACGAGGGGCCGGAGGGGAAGGCATGTATGTGGCGGGTTGGAATTTGTAGCCAACGAAGAGAGAGGGTTGCAGAATATATTTTAGCCACCCTCATCTCTCCGTTTGCAAGCGGGGTTTGAATAAAAAATAGTGAACGTTGATTCTGTATTTATTGGCCTCCTAATGCCAATGAAACCCTCGGCGGTGACAGAAAAGACGAAAAAAAATTTTCATTTTCCCGTGGGTCAAGGGTCAGGGTGAAAGTCGATTTTCGCCAAAATTGAATTTTTTCGGCAAGTGAAGGTTGATTCTGTATTTTCTAACGATTCTAATGCCAATGAAACCCCGGAAGCCAGAAGGTCAGATCTTGGATTTTTCCAAGGGGACTTTCGCCAAGACCGAATTGTTTAGACGGGCGAACGTTGATTCCAACTATTTAAACGATGGGCTATCCAGAACTCTCAAAAGTATGCGGAAAAAGTGAAAACTGAAAAAAAAAATTTTCTCAGATTTTCAAAGGGTCAAATTTTCCGTTTTTCCAGGGGGGAAGTCGACTTTCACCAAAATCGAATTTTTTAGCCGGGTGAAGATTGATTCCAACTATTTAAGCGACGGGCTATTCAGAACTCTCGAAAGTATGTGGAAAAAGTGGAAACTGAAAAAGTTTTTTTTTCAGATTTTCAAAGGGTCAGATTTTCCGTTTCTCCAGGGGGAAAGTCGACTTTGGCCAAAATTGGATTTTTTAGACGGGCGAACGTTGATTCCAAATATTTAAACGATGGGCTATTCAGAACTCTCAAAAGTATGCGGAAAAAGTGAAAACTGAAAAAGTTTTTTTTTTCAGATTTTCAAAGGGGCAAATTTTCCGTTTTTCCAGGGGAAAAGTCAACTTTCTCCAAAATCGAATTTTTTAGCCGGGTGAATGTTTATTTCAACTATTTAAGCGACGGACTATTCAGAACTCTCAAAAGTATGTGGAAAAAGTGATACAACCGAAAACTCCAAATCTCAAATTTGAACGATTACAAATCTCCCATTCGGAAGCAGAAATGAACCAATCACAAAAATCCGGAAATGATCGAGTCAACTGGCACTCGTAAATTTTTCATTCCCCATCCCTTCCATCTCACGATTTCTTTTTCTTATTCATCCCCCCAGAGTCTTTTACGACTATCGGAAGGATGTCGATAACGTCCCTGACGCTATCACTAGTTGTACGTGATCTGCACCCGAAAACCTCTTTTTTTCGTCTCTCAAGAATGAAGAGTTTCATACCTTCTGTACAAGTTTTATACATCCCCCTATTGTTTCTCTGTTGCAGGGCCCTCAGACAGCGGTAGAAGACATCCGGTTCTTCTGTACATACACGGTGAGAGTTATGATTGGGGCTCGGGGAATCCATACGACGGCTCTGTCCTGGCGAGCTACACGGATCAAGTTGTTGTTACGATGAACTATCGGCTCGGGGTTCTTGGCTTCCTGAATGCCAATATTTCACCGCAAACTAAAGCCAGAGTTGCCAATTACGGACTGATGGATCAACTCGCCGCGCTTCACTGGGTTCAGGAGAATATTGCACAATTTGGGGGTGATCCTGGTAATGTAACACTGATGGGGCATGGGACTGGCGCTGCCTGCGTTAACTTTCTCGCCATTAGTCCGACCGTTATTCCAGGTTTGTAGTTTAATCATAAATTATCGATCTGCATCCAAAAATAATAAGGTTTATTTTGAGACTTATGATCTCACACTGTTAAAAATTTTGATCTGAAGTTTCCGTGCCGTATCCTGGAAATTTTTATCGTGTTCAAGTTTCATTGGAATTTCAAGAAATCTTGTCACTGAAGAATCAAATGTCCCATTGATTTTCTGTTCAAATGATCCGGAAATCAATAGAGTACTTGATTTTTCTGCGAAAATTCAGAAAAATCAGGAAAATTCAGGGAAAATTTCAAATTTTGTTATTTTGTTTATGAATATTCATGTTCCAGTGGAAATTCAATTAAGTTGTGAAATTTCCATTTCACTCCCACTGAAAACTCATGAATTTTCTTGAAATCTACGTAAAACTTGAAATTTCATAATCCTTTTTCCTCTAAATCGGATTCAATGTCACTCTCATGAGAAGTACTACAATATTTTCCACGAAATTTTGCTAAATTTCTAACAGTGTATATCTTTCTCCAATAAATACCTATAATTCCCATAGAACATATGATAATTTCAAGAGGAAACTAAATTTTTTCTGCCGAAAACTGTGTTGTTGGCAAAACAAAATAATCTTGAGGGGAGAATTTTTTTTAAAAATACTTTCCCCCGTCAACTTATTCGTTCTATGGTATAAATCTATGGAGTTCTATCAGATAAAATGATTGTCGTACAATAGATTATATTTTTTCCTGCCGACAGTTCGAATATTCCTAGGGATATTTCTGATGATCACAACAAAAATCTATTTTTTGTGCAAGATATTAAATTTTCTTTTATGAAGTTTATTGATTTCCCTCAAGTAAAGCTGTTCCACTCCATCAAATATTCCCACGTGGAACATTCACGGATTTGATTCTTCAGACGTATTATCTGCGTCAGATAGCAAAAGTTGTTCTGAAAAAAATATTTTAAACACATCGTCTGTCTTACAACTTAATTTAGTCTCGTGCCTTTTTTCTCAAAATTTTTGTTTTATCGTAAAAAAAATTTGAAATTTTTTCCCAACATGATCCCTCACACTAAAATTATCGCCACACGTCTAAAAAAACTGGTTATTACGCCCTTTAAACCCACGATATTGACCATTCTCAAAAATAAATTCATTAGCCTGGGAAATCGTATCATTCTCTCGAATTATTCCTGTAAGTTTTGGCCTTAAGATTCTGGATTAGGTGTCTGTGAATTTAATTTACATCAACTTCTCCATGAGTTATCAGCGTACAGCTACACTCTGTAATTGAGTATCTTTGCCTCTTGTTTCTAGTAAATATGTGCTGAATGAAAAGGGATAGAGTGGGAAACATACCATCTGCTAACAAGTTTCCGCACAGTAGCAGTATGACAGACACAGTAGTATTATAAGTTGGATTAAGTTTTCCTCCTTTTGTCGACGACTTCGGAAAACCCTATTGAGAGTTGGAGAGTGAATTTTCCATGCAAAATATGACAACATTGGTTTCACCATGCTCATACATTCCTGATAACTTTGCTCGAGTGAAAAAAATAAACTTCAAATGTAATTTTCCCAGTTTTCTCGATAAGATTCGAACATTTCTGGAGATTTCAACTCTAAAAATTTGCAGAAGCTCCCAACAAAAACGGAGATTTTTCCTCCTGCAGGCTATAAATATTCATCTCTTTTTAAATTTCTTGCGGGAAAAAATCATAAAACGCGTGGGTGGAACATGTGGTGCCCTGAATTAAGTATAACGCACTTTGACCCGATGCACCTTTATGTCTTCACTCTCCCATATTTTGCCATCAACGTTCTCGCCAAGCCCTTGCATATCGACTACACGTTTAACGCTCTGTGGTTTTGCGATCACGTCTCCCATCTACGGGTTACGTAAGACTATTTGTTGGAATAACGATTCGTTGGGATATTATATACGTGAGTTGCGGGTTTAAGATTTTACTATCGGTTGGGAAACAGTTTGGAAAGGGTTACAACGCGAGAAAAATTAGTGCCTGAAATGAACGCTTTTTTATTCCGTTTTTTAAGGATATTCAGCCAAAACCCACATTATTCACCATAGTTTTGATATCGTCTCATATGCCAGGTTCATATTTGATCCACACGTTAGTAATAATTTTAATCCTTCCATCGGGGCATCCAGTGAGAAATTAATTTCTGAAAATCACTTCTTGTAACATTAAGCTTAGGGCAGAAACGTGACCGTGTGAACTTTGATCGCGATGTTGTATGGGTTAGACACTCAAGATATTGAAAAAAAAACCACAAGCCATTCACTTTAGACCATGGAGAATCTATCGTCGACGAGAACTAGTAGGGGACAGGGCCATATAATAGGCGTGATATCTTCGATTGATTCTCGAATTCCTCTAAAAAAAATTTGACCGCCATTACGAGTCGAGCAACGCGACAACACCGCACAACAGCTGATCGAGGTTGGTAAAGTCGGTGACGATAATTCAGTGCTGGAAGCATATGGACACCTATAACACACACAAACATTCATTTCACTGTTACAACCCCACTACTAGTCGAAGCGTGCGATGTTGCCCGATCAAAATTCCACTGTTACCACTGCAGTCACAAGTCCTCCATTATTTATGAACAGTTTTTTTAATTATTGTTTTTGAGACCGGAAAAGTACGCCATAACACTTCTAATTTGGTGAGAAAAATGATTTGTAACATGAAAGATTTATTTAGTCAATTTTAGTTTTCTTTTCAACTGAGTTGTCCACTTGGTGGGAAAGTTAATCGCAAATACCGTATTTGGTGAAAAAATCATTTGTGTTTGTTGCACTCTTCATAACCGACCCCTTAGACTGAGAAAAAAATTGCTCTTGCCAAGTATATTTACTTGCCACAAGTAAGCCATTTAAGAATTTTACAATAGTTCAAGAGCTTTGACAAAAATTTAAAAAATTTAAAAATTAAAAAAATTTAAAATTGAAAAATAAGATTTTTTTACTGTGATGTAAAAAATACAGTACCCTGCTATTACTAAGTGCAAACTTTGTATCTATATATCTAGAACTTGCGCCAAGCACACCTAAATTGAATGTAATTTAGTTTGACCTAATTTAGTGTAATAATTTTCAAGTGCAATTCTCTGTCGGGGTTTCATTGTAGGGATGGGAACAAATTGTAAAGGCCCGAGAGGGTAGACATATGATGAAATAAATAAATATTTGCATAAGCCATGTGTAGTAAAAATACTTGGCAAAACCATTTTTTTTTCTTAGTGTAACGCCCTTACATCACAATGCACTGTTATTGCACGTTGTGACATAAAATACTTAATTCCGGATATAACCTCATGATGAGAGACGGTGGAAACCCTTTGATGCCTTTGTAAACTCAGGATCACAAGGGTCACCAATGTCACTAAGGCTCAAAAGGGGTCTGACAGCCAGTCTGCATCCGGAGATTACGCAGCTCGATTTCCTGGCATAACAACTCGGGCTATCATTATATCCATGAGTTATATCTGGACATCACAAGACTCAACACTCTCCATATTGAAATCCATCCCCATTGGAAACCACTCTTCCTTTATGCCGACGCAGACACACGCGTGCTCTGGACACTAGCCAAGGATCCAAAACTTTTGGATTACGATGTCCGCGGCGTAAAATTTTTTTTCACCACTACATCCATCAATTTTATTTTTCACGAACGGTTTTATGATTTTTCTGAGGCTCTTTTATGGCGTCCGCTCCTCTCTGAATGCATTTCGAGGGGAATTACTGCGGGAGTCAGAGAGTATTCGTGCGGTTCGGTGAAATATACAGTGATGGCCACGTGGGACAATTTATATTTTTAGAATACACTGATAGAAAAAAATAATTTTATTGCGATGTTCTTATCTTGGAGCAAGTATTATATAATCGACAAAATGTATTTTTTTAGATGCATCAAGTATTTATTTTTGAGGCGCATTTGAGTTTCAGAAATGAAACAGTACTCGGAGTCAAGTCACATGCATTTACCGCAAGAATAGAAAATTTTGTTTTAACCGAAAGTAAATGTACATATGCTCATTTCTGTCTCTATGCTCGATTGCATGCCGTGAGCTATCACTTTTTAATCATGTTGACAGTCCCAAGAGTCTATCAAGAGTGAAATACGATTGCAGTTATTATTATCGTTAACCCCTCATGTACGGAGTCGATGCCATGCATCGACCCATAAAAATATGAATGACTCTCTGTGAAATTGAGTATCTCCAAAACTATGGAATTCAACTAAACCAAACAAATAGGGGAGGGTGGGGCAAAACGGCCCCCCTTCAATTGCCAATAACTTGTGAATGACATTGTGAAAATTCCCAGTTTCAACTTCATTTTGAAGATAATTTTTCATTCTTCAAAACGAGCTCTAACTCATCCCAATCGGATTATTGAATCGGAAAATATTGACGATTGAAGGGGGACCGTTTTGCCCCATCCTCCCCTAACAACAAAAAATGAATACTGTAGCTTCAATTCCATATCGGTTGCATAATTATATTAAATGTAATTATATAACCCTGAAAAAACAATTATTTAAAATAATGATAATTCTTTTCAGTGAAATATAATAATAGTCAAAATCGACTTAACCGGGCTTACCGCTTCGCTACTGAAATGTGTATTGAAATGTTAACGTAATGATTCAAATTATTTAATAGTGTCAAATTCAATAAAACGAAAATTTGCAACATTAGTATTTTTATTTTATGGCTCTCAGCTCTCCGAAATCGCACCCCGCGTGAGCGCGTGGTGGGAGTAACGAAATACAGTCGCATTCTCCGAATTCGCTTCCCCTATTCCCCCATATCGTGCGACTACAGCGGGACTCTACTGTACTACCTTCGTGATTACCATATCTCCCCGCTATTTGATTTAATGAAAAAATTTGTACTGTCGTGATATTGTAAATATTGATCGACTTGTAACGATTCCACCCAAGCAGATGATATTCTGAACGAATTTACCGCTGGCTAGACTCGTTCACGCATACTGTGGGCACAATTTTCTCGGATAAAATGAAAGGGAAAATATCCGAAGAGAACGCTGTTGAGAGTCTTAGTGCTGGAAGCCAGCCAGAATTGCTTTTCATCTTCATCCCTCAATGGTTTGAGCGTGTATGCCACCCTGCATGAATATACCGGATGATAGTTCTGGAGAATTGGAGATTAGGATGAATAAGACAGCAGTTTTGTTGAATTTTACGTTCGACGTTTTGTGAAGGATGGGTCAAGGAGTAATTTGGGAGACATTTTACTATTCTGAATTCTATTCTTGAAAATTTCAAGAAAAATTGACCGTTATCGCAAATGAAGACAGACTTGAATTTAAACTTTTGGTAAATTGAGTGAACTTTATTGATCCAAAAAAATGTTAGGGAATTTCGTCGTTGAAAATTAAATATTTTATGAAAATGTTTAATTTAATAGTAATTATTCTATGAAAACTGACTGATTAAAAATATATTTCCCCAAACAATGACACATCTTTATTTCTTTATGTCAAATGGAAGCTTTGTAATTTAAGTTTCCAATTTTTTGTGCCTGTAGGTAAGCATGTTATTTTTTTTCATATTTTTCTCAAAATTTTCTTATAACGGATCAATCGAACTTCCTGAATTTTTTTCACGGATATAGACTTTAATAAGCTCTATTTATTGCCACAAATTAAAATTCAATTTTTCCTACAGATTCGAAAAAATTGATATTTTTCCAAAAATCGATTTTTCAACGATCACTCAAAGAATTGTTATTAAAATGGAATTAGTCATGGCTCTAAAAATTGATAACAATTCTCTCTTGATGCTATCAGAATACGCTGGAGGTCGCACAATTCGTTGTTGAGTTACAGCACATTGTTTACGCGATTTCAAACAGAAAATCAATTTTTTCATGATTACTTAAAGAATCATCGGTAATAGCAATTAAATCAGGACTTGAAAAGTATATTTCAATGCCAAGTTACACAATACCGTCATGAGCTTTTTATATCAACATCTCTATCTCTATTAAACGCGGGTACCAGTCTATTATGTTGACTACTTATTCATATTAATTCATGGTCCCGACTAACTTCTGACAGAACCTGGGTTAAACTCTGGCTAAATCCTGAATAAACCCTGACTAAATCCTGGCTATACACTGAGTAAACCTTGATTGAACCTTGATTAAACCCGGCCTGAAAACGAATTCGAGTCATGAGAGGGTCTGAATGTAGAATTATTCGACAGAACGAAATAATTCGCAAAATTTTGATGACAAGATAGTACTATGGCATGAAAAAATAGAAGAAGAGAAAAGTAAAATAAGAATTAAAAAAAAGAGAACCCATTCGGAATGAAATTGCTAATTTATTAGCAACAATTATTGTACTCATTTGGTAAAAAAATGCTATTATCCACTTGTTTCTCCCATAATTAATTTTCATCGTTGATTAAATTTCTTTCGCCGCATCATTGATTTATATAATGCATTCCTGAGTGCATGAAATATAATGAATTTCACTCGTTCATTTCCCCATTAAATAATAATGAAGTTTTCATGATTCGAATGACGAAGAGGATCGGCGCGTGCACCCTTTCAAGCAAAAACATAGTGCAACCAACATTCGTACATGCGATAATCCGTTGCCTCGTCTCGCGTGCCTCTCCCCTATGTTATCCAAACATGATAGACGTAAGAGTAGACTCGAGGTAAACAGGAGGAGCTCAGAGAGGAAGAGAACTAGCTGCAGGAGCATTCCCTAATTAGGATAAATTCCGGGAGCTGGTTGTCCCGGAGATTGTTGAGAATTTTGTGCGGATTTCCCGTCGAGAAAACTCTCTCGACGTGCCCTCCCCCTTCCTCATCCTTCCCCCCTTGAGCACCAACACATCTTCATCCACCGGATGCGGAAGGGCGTTGGCACCCATTGGACGTAATGAAGATACCTTTTACCGTCTCGCCTCATCCAGCCCTAAAGACCCATCATTTTGTATTTCAAACAGGCTCATTTTTCAGTGCACACGAACCCAAAGTTTTTTTGCTGCCTGCATATATCCATGGAAGAAGATGCATTAATTAGTCAAGAAACTCGTTGTAATTCTATGGGGGAAGATTAATCAATGGAAATTGCCTGCGAATGTTCTCCCTATTTTTACTGCATCGAATATTTTTATCAGATTTTAGGGATTAATTAATTGGTGGATTGAGGGAATTTTACAATCAAAGAAAACAATACACTTTCTTAAGAAAGTGTAGGTAATGAATAAATATTTAACCTATCAAGTGGACAACTCAGTTGAAAAGAAGAATAAAATTGACTAAATAAATCATTCATGTTACAAATTATTTTGATCATCAGATTAGAAGTGTTATGGCGTAATTTTCCACACTCAAAAACAATAATTAAAGAAAATGTTCATAAATAATGGAGGACTTGTGACCGCAGTGGTAACAGTCGATGTTTGATCGGGCAACATCGCACGCTTCGGCTAGAATTATCGTCACCGACTTTACCGACTTCGATCAGCTGTTGTGCAGTGTTGTCGCGTTCCTCGACTCGTAATGGCGGTCAAATTTTTTTTAGAGGAATTCGAAAATCAATCGAAGATATCACGCCTATTATATGGCCCTGTCTCCTACTAGTTCTCGTCGACGATAGATTCTTCATGGTCTAAAGGAAATGGCTTGTGGTTTTTTTTCAATATCTTGAGTGTCTAACCCATGCAACATCTCGATCAAAATTCACACGTTCACATTTCTTCCCTAAGCGTAATGTTACAAGAATTGATTTTCAGAAATTAATTTCTCACTAGGATGCCCCGATGGAAGGATTAAGATTATTACTAACGTGTGGCGCAAATATGAACCTGGCATATGAGATAATATCCAAATTATGGTGAATAAAAAAAATATACTTCAACGCTATTTGAAGACTTGTGCGTTTTCCTCTGCGTGTAGTGATGAAATAATTTTTTAATTTTTGAAACTACATTGGGTAATACGAATTATATTACAACACATTATTTAGTATACGATACAGTGTTTTAGTGAAGAAACCCTGGAAGTTTTTTACGACAAAAAAAATTCTGAGTAAAATGTTAGAACCATCAAAAGTTTAAGTCAGAACGAATCCAGTTGGTCCCTGAGAGTGAGACGACTAAAGTGCCGTTTAATAGGGGAAATAAATTTTCCCTCACTGGCGTGGGCCAAAGCCCCGGCATGAGGCTCTACACGTTGAATGTTGAATGGAGGCACGTGGAAACAAGAGTCGTAGTTTTAAATTCCAATTTAACTGCAGTTTTATACTCTTTTTTTCTTTTGTTCATTCAAGAATGTTCTTTAAATGAAATTGATGAGTGATCTGTCTAAGATTTATGGGAATTTTTTAAATGGAAATTCGAAATTGTTGGACAACTTTGACTTTTATTAAATTTTGATGGTACCTAATTGGCAGCAAATTGGAATGCTGCAGAAAATGGCGCTCATATATTGCGAATTAAGCTTCCTCATTCAAAAATTCATTAGCATTTTGATTTAATTATAAACGGCAATTAATTAGAACTCTAATTGATGGATAATTTTCGGCGAGAAGAGCTGAACGTTGGGTGAAGATGTTTTGTATCGAAATCCTCAACTCTGATTGGTCAATGACTCGTCTGAAGTTACCTTATGAAAAAAACATTCATTCATTCTTCGTGTCATAATTGTTAATTTTCTTATGTTTGTCATGGATGACATTGATTAATTTTTCTTTCTTGACTTTTTTTATACTTTCAGGAGTATCATGAATTTTAATTTCGTTAATGTTTCTTTTTTCGCTAATGGCATAATTTTATTTTCTTGCATTTCTTCATGTGAAAATATCAAAAAATTAACAATTTTTTTTTTAAATCAATTTATTTAGGGTCAAGAAGTGGAGGTTAAAAAATGAGGGTCGGAATATTAGAGTCAAACACTGAGGGTCTGAATGTAAAGGTGAAGGAATGAGGGTCAGAATGTTAGGGTTAAAAAACGAGTTTCAGAATATTAGGATAAAAAAATTAGGGTCAGAATATAAAAGTAAAAAAAGTGGGTGTCAGGCAATGAGGGTCATATAAGGGCTAAAAACGGTGATCAAGCATAATATATGACTTATATTTAGACCCTCATTGCCTCACACCCACTTTTTTTACTTTTATATTCTGACCCTAATGTTTTGACCCCAATATTCTGACCCTCATATTTTAACCTCCACTTTTTGAGCCTTATATTCTGACACTTAGTACCTGACCCTTATATTACCCTTAAGAGGGCTTGCTACAACCCGGCTTGATACAAAAGAATCATCTTCAAACTGAAATACCCATCCCCCAATTAAGTATAAAATATACTTGATTCATGTGCATTTGACATTCAGTTTAGGATTTTTTTTTCGTGTGTCACTACGATAATAATAATATACGAACATGAACAGTTTCTTCAATTCTCTCACAGCTCATATCTCTATTACAGGACTATTCAAGCGTGCAATCCTCCTATCCGGCAGTGCCCTCTCCTCCTGGGCAGTTGTAGACGATCCCGTCATCTACGCAGTACGTCTAGCCAAAGCCGTAAACTGCACAGTACCAACTGACCTACTCAAGGAGCACGAATTGATCGTCGACTGTCTGCGCGATACAAGACTCGATCGTCTCATGTCAGCTGACGTTGAGCCTCCATCCTTCCTAAGTGCATTTGGACCGAGTGTCGATGGAGTTGTCATAAAGCCAGACTTCCACAAGGACCTCCTGTCGTACCTCGGACCCGAGTTTCAGGGATATGGGTGAGACACTTGACTCTTCAGCACATTTTTAAATCACCGTTCATCTCGATCTCTCGAGTTTCGAGGGACTCAACTGTTTGTTATATAGCCTCGTTAACGAGCTTCATGGACCATTCGTTAGCAACGACCCCTCATTACTACGCACCATCATTAGCATCAACAATGGACAAGCTAGAGAATATATTCATTAGAAAGCCATGATTATGTGGAATTAATTTTATTTCTTGTTTTTCTCCTCTTTTCAAGAAAGTTTTCTCGATAATGAGGGAAACCACAATCACATTTTCTGTAAACATTCAAGTTGACGCTTTTGTAGAAAATAAACACTTTTTTTCTCCCTTCATTCCTTTCTTTATGGCAAATTATCTTCAACTTTAAATTGAAAGTTTGAAATTATCAATTTTATACTTATTTATAGCACATTGTGGCTGGTTATGGCCAGAAAAGGGAAATAACTGTCTGTTGTTCCTTCGGAAATTACGGCCGCCCGACAACGTGTGTCGAATTCGAACCCAAGGAATAGCCTTGAAGAATGTAAACATTCATTTGTTTTTGGTCTCATATCGTTTTTCAACATTCCTTTCGGCTGCAAAACCTGCGTTCTGCTTGTTAACATAGTTATTAGTATGATAATTTTTATAACGAATCTCCGATTTTCTCCTAATGTTGTTGAAAATTCCAGAATTTCCTCATTTTTTTTTAACCATGCGTCGTTTTTCTTTAATTCCAATTGACTGGCTAACCTGAAAAATTCCAAAAAATTTAAGATTGTCAATTGAAGTGTCCAAAGAATTATCGTAGTTTTTGGAATAACATATTTCCCGAAATTCCTGAAGAAAACGAATTATTTCGACCAGAAGAATGATTTTTTCCCATGTTAAATGAAATTGCCCAGCACGCAACGTTGCCGGAAATTCGCGAAACGCGTCCGGACGGTGTAGAGTGAATTCGGCAACGCTAGAGCCTAAATAACACGACGGGGAATCCCCGCGAAGGTGACCAGAGTCGCAGAGTCGCGTTTGGTGACCAGCCTAGGGTTAAAGTCTCACATTTTCTTGAAATTCTCGGAGAACCGCTGTATTTTCTCCAATTTTGTGGGAAAGGTCTAGGTTTTTTTGCATATAGAAAAAACTTCCTTGTAGTTTTCTAAAGCTCGCAGAATTCCTTTCTCCAAAAGGTTTTAGAGGACAATATTTTCTAGAAACCTTCAATAATTCCTTACTTCTCAGCCATTACCAGCCCTCACAGCAATAAAAAAAACACACGCAATTAAAGTAAGAAATAAAGTAGAGTCCAATTTTTCGTATTTGCCACCCAAGTGTCTTTTAATAGGTCATAAATATATTCTACAAAAAAAAATTGAAATGAAAACAAATTGAAATCATAAAAAAATAAACAATTGTAAAGGAATTTTTTAAAGCAATTTCTAGAATTTTCCAAAAGTTTATACCGCGCTTACAACAAGATACAAAACTCTCGTCTTTATCCGAATTGTCAAGAAGATTAAAGATTATTCTGCAAAAACTATAGGTTTTCTCAAATCTCTCGAAGAATTCCAGAACATCTCCGAAACCTTCGATTTCTTTCAGAAAATCATGAACGTTCTAGAACACCCACGAATTTTTCCGAATTCTCTAGAAAAATCTATAATCTCCTGAAATTCCGATAGATGGTGCTGCGGCATAAAGACTTTTTCCCAAAATGATCGCAAATGATGTGTAGACGGCGCCATATTAGTCTGTTCACCTGATGCCAATTTTTTTCTGTTATTCATTCTATGGTAATAAAAAAAATCCCAAAATGCCTCTCCATAATAGAACCGTAGACGTCTCCCCGTCTCACAAATTGTGGGAAATAATATAATCACAAGAACTCTCTATTCACAGACAAATGCCAAAGAGAAATGATCCCGGCACTCCGATCACCAGCAACAACAAATACGACTTGTTATTCGGTGTAACCACGAGTGAAGCACTTTGGAGATTTGCTGAGCACGATGTGCAATCTGGTTTTGAGGGCGAGAGACGTGACAGAATAATAAGAACCTACGTTAGAAACGCCTACACGTACCACTTGACCGAAATTTTTTACACGGTGAGTTGATATTTCCTCGATTTTTCGACTAGAAAAAATGATAGAAATAGAATATTTCGGTACAAGTGAGACGGAGTTTTCAGAAGTGTGACGTTGGCAACCGGAGGCGACGCCGAGGGCTGCCAATCACACGAGCTTAAAATTCCCGTCTCATATGTGTCAATATTTTTTGAGAGTGATGTTGCGTTCAGCGAGTGCCGAACTGTTTTTTTTTGCTTACGAGTAAATGAAAAGACTTTTCATTTACATTTCGTACAAGGTGAAGGTAGTAGCAGTGTCTAAATAATATATTATGTCACTAGGTCCGAAAACCACGATCTAACCGAGCGAAGCGAAATGTTGTATGTCATTTATACGAAATGTTACCTGTCCCTTCTCTGATGTAATTCACTTAATCAATGTCGCCTTCTTTAATGTGGATCCCGCAAAAAAAATCACTTTTCGTTTACTATCAAAGTAAATTCACTAAAAATCTGTCAAAGCCAAGGGACTTCACGTATGAAAAAATCGTATAGAAATTCTCTATACGGATATTTTTTATTCAAATTATTTCTGTACGATTTCTATAGGTTTGATCCTATATGACCCACTTCCCCATGTATAAAAACATTTCGTATGGATTTGCATAATTTCTCTACGTTTTTCTCTGGAGGGTTTAGACCTCTCTCGTATGAAAACAAAAATTCATGTAAAAATTTATGTATAGAAATAATTTGTATAGAAAATATTCGTATAGAAATATTCGAATATCATATGCGGAAATCCTATAGAATTTTCACACGCAATCCGTATAGAAAATTTCTATACGATTTGTTCATCCCTTTTTTCCGAAGCACGTGTTTCAAAAATATTATTTCCAAATAAAAAGTGTAAATCTGGAGAATGCACAAATAACCAGATCGTTTTGTTGGTAGATTGTTTGGTTTCCTTTCTGGTATCGCGTGGTAACAAACGTAAATCACAGAATGCCGAATGAAAAAACCATAAAAACGTGAAATACTGGCAAATCCCATCACATCAACAAGCAAATGCTCTCGATCACATATCAGAGGCGTTTAGTTTCGACTGATATGCGACGGTCCTCCTGGATATAATAAATATTCGTATGGCTGTTATCTTCGAACATCCGTTAAACGGTGTATTTGGCTGTGGATGAAACGAATGGATCGGATAAACAAGGGTAACCAAATAAAACAAAAATAGTTGTGGAAAAAATACTGCGGATAAAAAAAAGGAAGTTGGGAGACAATATCGGACGCGAGAGTGCTGGATAATCACATGCACTGTCACGTAATCTGGTGGAGGTGACGTTGATAGGGAGTGGAAATGATAAATATAGAATGAATTCTGGAGTTCCGCCTGCAGTTTTCGAAGGGTTGTTTACAGAGTATTATTTGTATTGAATGCAGGGCTTGTGGAGATGAATTTGCGTTCCAATATTTTAATGCGAATAAATTCTCTTTTGCGACTGGATAATAGATATTCAAAAATTGAGGGATTGTGACACTATTTCGAGGGAGAATTTGTTACACCCAACGATCACAACGTATGTGCAATTATTGAGATCATAAGCGCTCAGTGGATTGTGGGGTAAACTGATCCAGGTACGATTTATGGGGTTTATAAGGCTGTCAGTAGCGAAGCGGTAAAACCGTTCAAATCGATTTAGCCCTTAGCTAAGTTTTCCAGGAATATCTCTGAATCTAAGGTAGATAACGAAATTTTCGTAATAACCTTTTTTGTAGAGCCAATTGAGGGCTACAAAAAAGGTTATAACATAAATTTTGCTATCTCCTTTAGATCTCGAGTTATTCATTGAAAAGTGACCAATAGTCAAAATCGACTTGAACGGCTAACTTGATGTTTAACCTATCAAGTGAAAAACTCACTTGAAAATAAAAATAAAAATGACTAAATAAATCATTCACGTTACTAATTATTTTTCTCATCAAATTAGAAGTGTTATCGCATACTTTTCCTGTCTGAAAAACAATTCAGTAGCGAAATGGTAAAACGGTTTAAGTCGACTTATCTTCCCGTTGAGTTTTTGAGGAATATTTCCAAATCTAAGGGAGATAGCGAAATTTTCGAAATAACATTTGTTCTAGCACTCAATGGGCTCTACAAAGAAGGTTATAACAAAAATTTTGATATCTCCCTCAGATTCCGAGATATTCATTGAAAACTGATCAATAGTCAAAATTGACTTTTACCATTTCACCACTTTGCTACTGAATTATTAAAGAAACTAGAACAGGGCGCGCACTTTGCGCGCGTATTGTTTTTCATGGGTGCCAAAATAGTAGAACCTTACCGTTTCTCACTTCCATTCATTTTTATTTCAATAATAATGCAGGAAAAATGAATGGTTTCAACAAAGTTTTTCACAATGAGAATTTAATTGTTGAATAATTTATTCGGAATCGTCATAATATTTTTCACCTTCTTCTTCGTTTCTCTTTTGCTTTTTGCGTTCTTTTTTATTTTTAAGGATCTATTATGTACTATATACATATACAGTATCGATTATATAATATACACATATATATTATCTTATGTATATATATCTTTTTTACAGTACAGAAGTGTATTACATTATTTTTTATTGTTAAAAAAATTGCAGTATAAAACATGTATAATATATAGCATGTATTATATACTATATATAGTATACATTATATAATACATACATACATATTATTGTATACATATTTTTTACAGAACTATACTTTTTTTTTCATCACGCTGTGACGAAAAGTGAACTTTTCGGCACGTTCCGCGTGCCTAAAAGTCCAATTTCCGCCACATTGTGATGAAAAATATTGTTCGTAACTCGTGAAAAAATGTTTTTTAGTTCGTGGGATTATATTACTCGCGTTCGGCTCGTGATATAAACCTCCCACTCGCCAAAAAACACTTTTTTGCACTCGTTACGAAATATACTGTTATTACAGGCAGACATGAATTTCTCATTTTTTACAATCATTACTGTAAATAAAAGACAGTACATAAATCCATAGACATCATATTCTTGATCATCATTACTTGAGAAGCGAAATAGAGGCTTCAAAAATCGTTATAATGGATTTTATAAAAGTGGAGTGTTCATAGATGGAGGACTTGCGACGGCAGTGGTAACCGTCGATCCCCGAGTCGAATAATTGGACCTGACAAGTTCTACTTAGGTCTTTCCGTTCAGAACTGGATAGGTCTTGGGAAGCCTCTTCCCAAGTGCTTCCGAGACCTTTCTACCTCTGGTTATGTCCCATTTCAGCACTTGTTAGGTGTAAGCAGGACTTGTATTCAGACTTTCCAAATCCTTGCCGGTCCCCGTAATTCTATGGGCCTATATTAAATCTGCGTTCATATCCCTGTTTACTCATGCGTTATTGAAATAAAAAATGCAATTATTTTTTTTTTTTTAATCTCGAAAATCGACATTTCACGAGAGGGTGGAGGGGAGATGCATGTATGTGGAGGCTTGACATTTTTACCCAACAAGGGGAGAAGCTAGCAGAATCTATTCTAGCCACTCTTGTCCCTACGCTGGCATGTATGATCCAAATAAAAAATGAAAGTGTTAACAAATCTGACCATTGTTCCAAGTAAAAACCGAAAATCTGACCCTATGGCTCCGGGGGAATAATTTTTTTTTTCAGTTTACACTTTTTCCACATACTTTTGAGAGTTCTGAATAGCCCGTCGCTTAAATAGTTGGAATCAACGTTCACCCGGCTAAAAAATTCGATTTTGGCGAAAATCCACTTGCCCCGGAAAACCCGAAAATCTGACCCTTTGGCTGGGGCCAAAAAAAACGGTTTCTCAGTTTTCACTTTTTCCACATACTTTTGACAGTTCTGACTAGCCCGGCGCTTAAATAGTTGGAATCAACGTTCACCCGGCTAAAAAATTCGATTTTGGCGAAAAATCCAAGATCTGACACTTTGACCCTTGTGACCCTTGGACCGAGTTTCCCCCCGGAAAACTCCAAGATCCGACACTTTGGCCTCCGGTGAAAAAATTTTTTTTTCATTTTTCACTTTTTCCACATACTTTTGATAGTTCTGAATAGCCCGTCGCTTAAATAGTTGGAATCAACGTTCACCCGGCTAAAAAATTCGATTTTAGCGAAAGTCGACTTTCTCCCGAGAAAAACGAAAAATCTAACCCTTTGAAAATTTGAAAAAAAAAACCTTTTTCAGTTTACACTTTTTCCACATACTTTTGAGAGTTCNTGAAGCTTATTCAATGAATAGTCATATTATAAAGGGTAGAGTGTCTGTAAGAACAATCCAACTCAAATATTAATCACCACCTGCGATGATTTCACAAAAATAAATAAAAGTTTAAAGCACACATTCAATGCTTCCTACTTTTGAGAGTTCTGATTAGTCCGTCGCTTAAATACTTGGAATCAACGTTCACCCGCCTAAAAAATCGATTTTACCGAAAGTCGACTTTCCCTCTGAAAAAATTCAAAATCTGACCCTTTGGCTCCGGGTGAAAAAATTTTTGTTTCAGTTTTCACTTTTTCCACATACTTTTGACAGTTCTGACAAGTCTGGCGCTGAAATAGTTGGAATCAACGTTCACCCGGCTAACAAATTCGATTTTGGCGAAAATCCCCTTGCCCCGAAAAACCCGAAAATCTGGCCCTTTGGCTCCGAGGGAAAATTTTTGTTTCAGTTTTCACTTTTTCCACGTACTTTTCATAGTTCTGAATAGCCCGGCGCTTAAATAGCTGGAATCAACGTTCACCCGGCTAACAAATTCGATTTTGGCGAAAATCCCCTTGCCCCGAAAAACCCGAAAATCTGGCCCTTTGGCTCCGAGGGAAAATTTTTGTTTCAGTTTTCACTTTTTCCACGTACTTTTCATAGTTCTGAATAGCCCGGCGCTTAAATAGCTGGAATCAACGTTCACCCGGCTAACAAATTCGATTTTGGCGAAAATCCCCTTGCCCCGAAAAACCCGAAAATCTGGCCCTTTGGCTCCGAGGGAAAATTTTTGTTTCAGTTTTCACTTTTTCCACGTACTTTTCATAGTTCTGAATAGCCCGGCGCTTAAATAGCTGGAATCAACGTTCACCCGGCTAACAAATTCGATTTTGGCGAAAATCCCCTTGCCCCGAAAAACCCGAAAATCTGGCCCTTTGGCTCCGAGGGAAAATTTTTGTTTCAGTTTTCACTTTTTCCACGTACTTTTCATAGTTCTGAATAGCCCGGCGCTTAAATAGCTGGAATCAACGTTCACCCGGCTAACAAATTCGATTTTGGCGAAAATCCCCTTGCCCCGAAAAACCCGAAAATCTGGCCCTTTGGCTCCGAGGGAAAATTTTTGTTTCAGTTTTCACTTTTTCCACGTACTTTTCATAGTTCTGAATAGCCCGGCGCTTAAATAGCTGGAATCAACGTTCACCCGGCTAACAAATTCGATTTTGGCGAAAATCCCCTTGCCCCGAAAAACCCGAAAATCTGGCCCTTTGGCTCCGAGGGAAAATTTTTGTTTCAGTTTTCACTTTTTCCACGTACTTTTCATAGTTCTGAATAGCCCGGCGCTTAAATAGCTGGAATCAACGTTCACCCGGCTAACAAATTCGATTTTGGCGAAAATCCCCTTGCCCCGAAAAACCCGAAAATCTGGCCCTTTGGCTCCGAGGGAAAATTTTTGTTTCAGTTTTCACTTTTTCCACGTACTTTTCATAGTTCTGAATAGCCCGGCGCTTAAATAGCTGGAATCAACGTTCACCCGGCTAACAAATTCGATTTTGGCGAAAATCCCCTTGCCCCGAAAAACCCGAAAATCTGGCCCTTTGGCTCCGAGGGAAAATTTTTGTTTCAGTTTTCACTTTTTCCACGTACTTTTCATAGTTCTGAATAGCCCGGCGCTTAAATAGCTGGAATCAACGTTCACCCGGCTAACAAATTCGATTTTGGCGAAAATCCCCTTGCCCCGAAAAACCCGAAAATCTGGCCCTTTGGCTCCGAGGGAAAATTTTTGTTTCAGTTTTCACTTTTTCCACGTACTTTTCATAGTTCTGAATAGCCCGGCGCTTAAATAGCTGGAATCAACGTTCACCCGGCTAACAAATTCGATTTTGGCAAAAAATCCAAGATCTAAAACTTTGACCCTCAGGGGGTCAATAAATATAGAATCAACGTTCACTGTTTTTTATTAAAACACCGCCTGCAAACGGGGAGATGAGGGTGGCTAAAATATATTCTGCAACCCTGTCTCCTCGTTGGCTACAAATTTCAACCCTCCACATACATGCCTTCCCCTTCACCCGCTCGTAAAATCACGCGATCTCGGTAGCATCGAGGAGGACTTCTCCAGACCGAAAAGAACTGAGGATTCGAAAGGTCTCTGGAAAAGTACGTCGCAGAACTGATTAGGACTTACAGGTCCATCTAGGTCTGGACAGATCTTGAAAGACCTGTGTACATCCAATCAGAACCAAATCCTCGACTCGGGGAATTTTGATGAGTCAACATCGCGCGCGTCGGCTAGTAGTGGGGTTGTAACAGCGAGATGAATGTTCGTGTATCTTGTACGTGTCCATATATAAGCTTCCCGTACTCTTAATCCCTCAATGGGTCCATATGTCGTATGGACGCCGTACTTGAGGGATTAAATAGGAAAATGGCCTTCCGTGAAAATAGAATAGCCAATGAATACTCCATTCAGCTGAAGCAGAAAATGCTTTACTAGTGATTTTTCTCACAGACTATTATCTCTTCCATTTCAGATTGTTAACGAATACACTGAGTGGGAAAGAACAACTCAACACCCATCAAACACTCGAGACGGTTGCGTACAAGCACTGAGTGATGCTCAGTTCGTAGCACCACTTGTTCAAACCGGCGACCTCTTCACTCTTCGTCATACCAGGAAACCAAACAGTGCACACATTGCACCGATACCCGATCACGAGAGAGAGCCAATGCCCAAAACCTACTTCTACGTATTTGACTTTCAGGCCAAGGACAGCGATTACCCGGAGGTGAGTGAATTTCCAAGGATCACTGTGACCTCCATTATCCGAATAGATGGCAATTGAAAAATTGAAAAAAAACGAGAGTGAAAAGTTCGAGTCAATTCCATTTATGATCGATCAAACTGTCAATATCAGAGGGGGGGACTTGTCGGTCTGGTTGGTGAAGTATTATTAGAATTTGTCTATTTGCAATTCAGATTTGTGGAGTAGTTTGGATTATCTACTTGGTTTCTCCATACTATAATAATCCAAATCGACTTCTGATGACCAAAATTTGGTGCTCGAAATTAAGACTCCAAATTAAGGGTTAAAATAAGGGTCGTGAGGGTCAGAATAAAGGTCGAGAGGGTCAGAATAAGATCAATGAGGATCAGATTAAGGGCCACAAGGTTCAGATGTAGGGTCATATGGGTTCTATTAAGGGTCTCGAGGGATATAATGAGGGTCGGGATCCAAATAAGGGTCACATGGGTTGGATTAAGGATTACAAAGGTGAGACTCAGGGTCATGGGGGTCAGAAACTGACGGCCACAAGGGTCAAATTAAGTGTCTTTATGTATCTCTGTACCTCTGTATATTTTTAAAAATTCCAAATCGACTACTGGTGACGAAAATTTGGTGCTCGAAATTAAGACTCCAAATTAAGGGTTAAAATAAGGGTCGAGAGGGTCAGAATAAGATCAATGAGGATCAGATTAAGGGCCACAAGGTTCAGATGTAGGGTCATATGGGTTCTATTAAGGGTCTCGAGGGATATAATGAGGGTCGGGATCCAAATAAGGGTCACATGGGTTGGATTAAGGATTACAAAGGTGAGACTCAGGGTCATGGGGGTCAGAAACTGACGGCCACAAGGGTCAAATTAAGTGTCTTTATGTATCTCTGTACCTCTGTATATTTTTAAAAATTCCAAATCGACTACTGGTGACGAAAATTTGGTGCTCGAAATTAAGACTCCAAATTAAGGGTTAAAATAAGGACCGTGAAATATCAGCCAAAATTTTTTAACAGAATATGGCGGTCTCATGAACGTCCCATTTTCATCAAATTGCGCTTTACGCGAATAATTCAGAAGGTTGTAGGAATTGTATGAATTTCAAAAATGTATTAAACCTCAACCGAACTCATTGAACATCAATTAGACTTGTCGAAATTATTCCATACCCGCCAGTATCCAACATTCCTGTTGACTGTTCCCGGTTGATAAATTGCAATTCAATGAATATTGTTGCGTGAACCTTGCAACGAGCTATTGTCCAACCACGAATGTAACTTTGATCTCCAGTCAAATCTCCAACTGCCCGAAGAATATGATTCCATCACTGATAGTAGATAATGCTGCATGCCTCCACGAAGCAAAATCGCAGTTATTGATTTCGATATCACAATAATAGCACCAACAGCTCACCATTCCGTCAGCCGGCTCCGCCTGCACCCATTCTATTGTAATTTGTACATAATTGAACGTAAACACATCGATAATTGGTAGCGAAGGGGTCAGTGTACGCTTGCATATTCATACCGTCGACCGTCAGAACAACCGGGGATATTCCTATTTTGATATGCATAAAATTCAGTAACAGTGGAGCGCATACACGCATAAGCCCACTAGCTTCATCATCCAGTGAGCGATTACCAATTGACATTGAAATTGAATTTTTAAACGTATCATGTACGTCATTAAGCCGTTCATTCTTTCACCCCTGTTTTACATTTCTTTCAATCAATATTCAAATTTCTGTTCAGCTATTTTTCAATTTACGGATGGTGAACGGTTTTATGAGTGATTAATATTTATCCCGGGCGTGGGTTGTCCTATATTTAATATATTCAATGTATTTTGCAAATAGAAAAACCAATCAACTCCTCTCAAACAGTGAAATCCACTCAATAAAGGCAAATTCTCACTTTGGTGCAAACCAAATATATTTTCAAACTCTCCCCGAATTCCGCAATACAATTCAATTTTGATTTAATAGTTTTTCCAGTACCATCTTGTTCCGCCAATGAAATAAACCTCCACTATTGCCTGACACTTTTGAATCCTCTTTGACGCTTTCCACCTCAACTCCAATATTGTTTCCCGAATTTTTATTCATCCGTTTGACGCTTTTTCCCAGTTTTCCACTTCATTTTCTCCTCTCTCGATTTTTTTCTCTTTAATCTTCCCTTTCAATTCAATTCTCAATCGACAATTTTTTCATGTTTTCTCACTGAAATACCTCACACAGAGGCAAATAAAGTTTTTTTTCATACCGATTGAATCTAACTCGAAGTAAACTCAAAGCTTCTGATGGAATTTTCCCGAATTTTCCATTCGCTCGGTGGAGAGAAAATCCCAGGGACTCGGAGTTTTTCATCGTCTATTTGTTCTTTCTCCACACATTTATGTATAGATATATCCATATATGTACTCTGCACCCTTGGCAACCGATCAATTTCTCTATTATTCGTACAGGGATAACTCACCGGGGTAGGAGCTGAGTGGAGTGGGTTTCTGATGGCTCCCAGAAACGCATTTCTCTCGTCTCTTGTCTGCACTTGTTCGTAACTCCATCGTAAAATTGAGGGGAAATTGAGGGAGTATGATCAACCACGGACAGTTTAGTACAAATTGCCCTGGAGGATTGCGTTATAATAACTCGCGTGCATGGAATGGAGGCAACGAGAATATTTCACGAGATATGATGCAGAGGGAGTGGTCATGGACTGAATGTCGACCTTTCAAGGTCATCTGATGTTGTAGACTTTATTTTGTTTTGTGATGTTTTTTATGTGAGCGATGACTTTTGTGTGACCCTGGGTGACCTTCGTCTGACCCTTCTGATCATCACAATGAATATTAGGTACTACGGGGCATTGTCCCTTGTTCGCGTCGCTCGCCAACTCCAGGGGGACTTCCCCCCTCGCTCGCTTCGCTCACCAACTCCAGGGAGACCTACCCCCTCGCTCGCTTCGCTCGCTCCCTCCCAATCTTCTTGGGTATGTTTAAGGGCTCGTATTATATTTTTAAAAAATTGGTAGAATGATCTATCTCATTTCAAAAATTGAGGTTTTTATTATTTACAAATGATTGCAACCAACGCCTTCTGTCGTGAGATATAACCATTCATTTTTTCATTTATTCATATAGGATAGTATGCCGCATGGTTTTATTATTATTTTTTCAAGATTTGACCACCATATGATCTCCATGTAAATCCCATATGACCCCATATGAATTTATAGAGATATGAACATATTAGAGAGATAGAGATAATAATTAATTCTCAATGGGTTGATCAGTGTCACAGATAAGAGTCAGAATTGGGGTCACTGTAAGGGCCAGAATCATGGGCGTCTCCTGGATTTTTGAACCTTCTTATTTTTTTTATCATATTGAAACGGTATGAGATACGATGAAAAAATATCTGACTCCTTTATTCTTATCGCCAGAAGTCCACTTGGAATTTCTTAATGCGCGGGAGAAAAATTCCTTTGAAAAACCTGGCGATTTTTGGAAAAAGAAGTTTCTATAGAAAAAATTCTATAGAAAAAAAAATTATAGAATTTGATTTTTCTATATATCTTTTTTGGGAGAGGTTTGTTGCAGAAATGCTTCTCCTTCATTTTTTTTGTTTCAATTTCTTTATAAAACGCCAGGAAAAATTGTTTTTTTTATCCCCAAATCGAATTTAATGGCATTTTTCCGAAAATTCCTAGTCATCTGTGCACAAAATATCAATTTTTCCCTACCATAGTATATCACACACGACAATTTGAAACAAATTCTCCCCAACAAAATAACCACCGAAACTCCCAAAACCATCCCAAAATATTAGTTTTTCGCATTTAGCCTCGAGCGAGAAAACCGGTTGACTGACTCGAGTCTCAGCACGTAGTCATACGTGTATTTCATGCATCCCCCATGTACCATGTGGCGTTACGGGCGTGGGAAAAGGTGTGGGTAGGAGAGTAAAGAGGGGTATGATGTTGATGCTCAGTTTGGGGAACAACGGTAAATGCGAGCACGCGTCCTCACGCGGGGGGAAAACGGGCCGCTACCAAGGAATTTCACGTTGTGCACGTAGCCGAGGATATTCACATTGGAAAGTTTCAATACCTCGGGGCCAACCTCTTCCACTTGCACTTTGTTACCCTCCCCCCCCCCCCCCCNTGATGCTCAGTTTGGGGAACAACGGTAAATGCGAGCACGCGTCCTCACGCGGGGGGAAAACGGGCCGCTACCAAGGAATTTCACGTTGTGCACGTAGCCGAGGATATTCACATTGGAAAGTTTCAATACCTCGGGGCCAACCTCTTCCACTTGCACTTTGTTACCCTCCCCCCCTCTGTGCCCCCACAACGTCTCTGCACCCTCTGCGTGCATCTGCACCATCACTGAGAGGAGCCAATGGAGGTTATCGATTCACTCCACACGCGCTACTAGCTCTCCTCCCTGACTTCGGGAATCCCCCTCCCCTTGAGGTGGCAGCGGCAGGTGGGGGGCGGCGGCGGGGAGGGGGCGAGGGAGAGGTAGTGAACCGGAGAAATAGAGAAAAAGGTATTGGGTAATGTATATACAGGTACGTGAGGTACCCCGATATCCCTCAAGTTTTTTAATACTCTCACTGGTCTTGCCTGTGGGCCAATTAATCTCAATGTTGCTAAAAACTTTTCCTGCTGTATGTTTTTCACTCTTTTTTCCGTGAAAATTTCTCAACTGTAAATCCAAAACTCATTTCCAAATTCAATTACACATAGGTGAGAGGATTGAACTTTTTTTGTGGAGGGTTCACCCAGTGTTTGGGAAATTTCATTAAGTTTTAAAATTACTCGATGTTTTCTCACGGTAGAGAGATCATTCGGAGAAAATTGTTCATTTCCTTTTTTTCCCTGGAGAAGAACTCGTGATATTATATTCAAATTACGCAGCGGGCGCTCTGACTCAGTGGTAGCGTGTGTGTCTAGTGTGCATTCGGCACATTTTTTTCACGAAAAATATCCTATGGATTTCGATTGGTAAC